AAAGTACAATACCACTTAGCAACTGAGAAAGAAAATAATTGATTTTAAATAGAAGCATGAATGTCAATGCATCTGGCTTAAAAACACAAACGTCTTCTCCAAAATCAAAGGACAATGGTGATCATGGAAGTATATATAGCAAAAGCATTGCATATAACCTAAATCCCTATAACATGATAATATTACCCATTTGTGGGAGACACTTATTTCTCTTGCTTTTTCAAAAAAAAAAAAAAAAAAAAAAAAAAACAGATTCCTCAAGCTTTCCCAGATGAAAGTAGGATTTGACAGTTACTAAATAACGCCAAAACCTATGTGAATCACTCCTCTGTTTGGTAGAAGCACCCAAGTTTGCTGGCTCAGAATCTGAAGTGGAAGTGTAACTCACCACAAGTAAATGTCTGCTCACATAGCTGAATTGCTTCTTTGTATGCAGCTGTGAATTATCATTGCAGTTAAGCTAAAACACAGAAAATGAGAGACGTTTTCGTCAATTACTTGCCTATAAAAATTTAAGTTATCAAGTCTTATTTCTCAGGAATACAAACCATAAGAAGAGCACATGCTTTCATTTCAAGTAACTTCTCTGAGTAAGGGCTTATCATCAAAGCATCAGCTACAACAGCCAAGGCACACTATGCATCATTGGTTGTTCTTCTTTCTAAGAGCTCTGCCAGATTGCTTTTCATGTAATTTGAAAATTTCTTGCACCTAAGGGAAACCAAAATTCAGCTTTCATTTCCTTAGCAATTATACGTAAAAAAAAAAAAAAAAAAAAAAAAAAAAAAAAAAAAAAAAAAAAAAAAAAAAAGGTATCAAATTCAGGTGTGCCAATGAAACATCTACAAAAGGAAATCCTCTCAACTAAACCACCAAATTAAAGCAAAATATCAACTAAGTGAACCAGACACCAATCACCAGGAAGGCGGAAACACGATACTGCACCCACCACTTCCTAAACCTCACGTGGACCACACACAACACCCATACAATAATAAAGTCATAAAAAAAAAAAGGGGACTGGAACCATTCACCAGCAATCACCGCCATCCCGGAGCACCAAGAACGCCAGCACAATCTCCCAGCACCCACACACAATGAACCCCCCTCCCCAGCCGAACCCAACTGGAAATACCGACGCCAAAGGCATCAAACGCACAAAAAGAAGGGGAAAAAAACGATTTCCACCCCCCAGCCGGACAGAACCCGAAAATAATAATAATAATAATAATCAACGCAACACACACACCTCCCTTGCCAAACCCTATCCACCCACCACCAATCATCCCCAGCAAAAACCCCCAATCCCCACCCCCCCCCCCTAAACCGGTCAAAACCACGGTCATGCACAGACCTTGCAGGTCGGAAAATGACATTACACGAAAAAAAAAAAAAAAAAAAAAAAAAACTAGCAATGCACCAGATGGAGTACACACCCAAAAATAAACCCCAACCCCGGAACCTCCGACATTGGACTTGTCGCCGTAGACATGCAACATCAGCACAAGAAAAAAATAAGCAAAGAAACACCAAACACATAACCGCGGCTACCGGAAGACCCCCCCCCCCCCCCCCCCCCCCCGCCCCCTCCCTCTGACGCTTGGTCTGCCGGTTGGTAGAACCCGCTATGACGACTGCGTGAACGGCACGAGGAAAGCAGGCCGGCGTCAACGCTTGATTATAGAGCACATACTGAGAAGAATCGCACCGGAGAGAAGATCGCACGAGTCGGGCAGGCTTTCGAGAAGACGAAACGGAAACCTCAAAGAAAAGAAGGGGAAGAGACGGGAATTAAAAAATACAAATCATAAAATCTTATTTAACCATAATTAACCTGCACAAGCCCACAAAATCCGGTAGTAATTATTGCAGTCTAATAAAAATACAATGAAAAAGACATCCTTGCCCCTAAATCTACAAATTAAGCAGCGCACGCGGTAATTAGTTAGAATAGATCCAGGACGTCCAAAGATGCAAATAAACGTACAAGATTGAGCCTCACCACCTCACCTGCCAATGCTAACCTCACCGGATCCAAAATCATTGTAGGGATATAATATGTTAATATCATACATATAATATGTTAACCGCATCTTATGTATATACAGTTAATATATTATGTATATGTAATATAATTAATATATTATGTGTGTTTAATTTATTTATAATCACATAATATATTAGCTACATATACATAATTTTGAATGTGATTTTGGATGAGGATGATGATATAATTTGTCCTTGTATCACAACTACTAATTGTCTCGTGTGATGCACGAACTATTATTAATTTAACAAATTTACCAATTAAATTTTTGACATCCTCTGAATTAGCAAATAAAGTAATGGTTGTGGAAACAGAAAAACGTATTTGAGTTCTTGAACTCAGAATTAGTTTGATTAAAAATGTAAGTATAACTATACAATGTAATATTTAATATTTTTAAAAGTTTAATTATGCTATTATTATGTTGATTTTAAAGTTTATTGTTACTTGTATTATTATTTGAATTCGATTTTTTTTTGAAAGGAATTTGAATTTGAAATAAGTACTTTAATTATATAACTAACGTATTGAAATAAAACTTGTAAAGAAAATAACAGGCGATATTTGTTGAAAATCTCCACCAAAAACTTATTCATTTGAAAAAGATTATTTGTGTAAGAAAGAACTATATTTATTTTGTATCTAATTTCTCATCTTTATATATGTGGAGTCAAATTAATTATAATTGAGGTTTAAATGAATATACGTTATACCCTACACCACGGCGCACATAGCACTGTGCACCGCGCGCCTCCCAAAACGACGTCGTTTTGGGAGGCGCGATAGGAAGTTGCTGGGATTATGTGTATTTGTTCATACAGTTATGTGTATTGGTTCATACAGTTATGTACATTTTTTATACAATTATGTACATTCTTTTTATACAATTATGTACATCCGAATCAGAAAATTTGTGTGTATTATGTTAAGAGTTGATGTGTATTATGTTAAAAGTTTATGTTTATTATGTATTATGTTAGATTATGTGTATTATCTTTTAAAAAGAGTATGTATATTTTGTTATATACTTATGTACATTCATGTATATAATTATGTGTATTCTAGTATAACATTATGTACATTCTTGAACAGCGGGTTTTTTTTTTTTAAAGAAAAAACTACTGCCATTCACTGGGGCGGGAAATTTCAAAAAAAAAAAAAAAAAAAATTAAAACGACGTCGTTTTGCATCTGGGCGCATAGTGCAACGCGCGTCGTGGTGTAGGATATAAATTGCCACTGTAGACACCGAAAATTTGAACCTGATAAATGGACCGATTAAAGTGTTATTGGGCCAATGTTGAGAATGATGATTGGGCCAATTTGATTAATTGGATCATGGAAATTAATTTAATTTAATTAGCCCAATTAAGTTTGATTTGGGTCATTGAATTAATTAATTAATTGGCCCAAGCACATTTCATGTTTGAATTTAAATTATAATTATAATTTAAATAATTTAAATATAATATTAATTTTATTATATTTGAATTAGATAATTATAATTTAATTTGAATTTGAATTAGATTATACAATAATGAACCTGGACTTGATCTTGGACAAGGTTTATTTTCCTAACTAATTAATTAATTAGTTAACTAAAAAGGGGTTTGGTTGAGGAATTCTGGTTAAGCTTTCAGTTATAAATAGGGCCTTCGTTTTCATTCCAAAACACACTTGAAGGCTTAGAACTTGAAGGGGTTGAGAGCATTTGAAGAACGCTTGAAGATTTGAAGGCATTTTTGTTGATTTTGCAGGCAATTTGAATCCATTGCAGGTACTTTGGAGCTTTGCAGAATTGATTGTCTCGAAGATCTTAAAGTCTTTTGAAGGCATTTGAGGATCTTAAAGTAGCTTGAATCCATTGCAGGTGTTTTGAAACTTTGCAGGGTTGATTATTTTTAAATTCTTGACGCTCGTTGTTGGAAGTCACGCCACTTAGATCCCGAAAGCTACGCCACTTAAATCCCGGAGGCACGCGCCACTTAAATCCTGGAGGCTACGCTATTTGAATCCCGGAGGCACTTCCATAAATAACGTCAGTGAAGAATCAGAGGACTAGACAGAGATTTTGTACCTGCATTGAATTATACACACGATGTACACGGAATTTTGTGGAATATATACAAAGTTTACTTTTTGTGTTTACATATACACAAATTATATTAAATATAAAACTCCTAAATTTGAACACAATAAACTTTTTTCCATACTTCATTATGCTTTAATATATATCGAGATATAGATAGAGCTATAATAATAAAATATAATTTATAAAATATAAATACACATAATAAATTCAAAAAAATATGTATAAATACATCTACCCACACAATTAATTAATGCATTCATACTTGCTAATCTTGTTTCGATCAAAATGCATTCACATTTTGGAGAGAAAATTTTGTGGCTAGATTCTGCTTTATTATATAATAATAATAATAATAATAATAATAATAATAATAATAATTTATAATAATAATAATAATAAAGATAAAGATATGTATTATTTTCAAAGAAATAATTAGTATAATTGGAAAAGTAATGTCATATATCCTTTTTACATTTTGTTTTCTCACGATGTAGTCATGTAGTAGTATTTAATTGATTATTAAATTTGTTTTTGATTAGCATGCATGTTAGATGGGGAAATTGATAAGGGGAACTTTCCTAATTGCAAGTGTTAAGCCTCCGATGTTGACTCAGTACCCATACTTCATACTTGTTCTGTGTCTCAACAAGCTAAGGAAGAATTAATTAACTACACTATATCCTTCATCAGATCACAAATTTCTGCAAACCCATCCATTTCCAAACACAAGGTGATTAATCTTGAATTAGTCAATACCATACTATACCCTGAATGATGCTTTTTTTATTTTCATTAATTTTAGTTTGATTATATTAATTTCCTGAAAGTTAATGCTATTGAATCTGGTTAGTAGGACTTACAAGTAAGATTGATTATTTTGTTTAATGAAGAAGAGGCTATCTAGGCTGAGCTGAGAATCAAAACAACCATCCAAACATGAAGGAATTGAAGCATCTTTTCCAACGTTGTATATTACTTGCCTGCATTCTTCTGCTTGTATCTCACTGTGACGGTGACCCTACATCTGTACTGATTTGTGAAAACAACAGTACAAGCCCTGCCTTTTATATCCCAAACTTCGTTGCTGTGTTTGAAAACATTTCTTATCAAATAACATCTCGGGGATGGGGAATTTATACAAACGATTTTACATATGCGCTCGCGCAATGCTATGGGGATATTTCTGGGCAGGATTGTTTATTCTGCTACGCTGAGGCTCGTACTAGATTGCCTCGGTGCCTTCCTCGTGTTGGGGGACGGATATTTCTTGACAGTTGCTTTGTTCGATATGAAAATTATAGCTTCTTTCAAGAGGCATTAGGAGCAGATGACAGACATGTTTGTGGAAACACTAACAGCACCAGAAAGGACGACTCTGTGTTCCAAGAGACAGCTAGGAGGGCTGTGATGCAAGCAGTTTCAAATGCTTCTAGCAATAATGACTTTGCAAAGGTTGAGTTGCCTGTTTCTGGGAGAAACAATGAATCTGTTTATGTTGTTGCTAATTGTTGGAAGACTGTGGCCAATTGTGGGGCATGTTTAAGGAATGCATCTTGGTCCTTGCTGCAATGTTTGCCTTGGTCTGAGGGTCGTGCGTTATACACTGGATGCTTCATCAGGTACTCGGACACCAACTTTCTTGATTCCACTCATGGAGGCTTAAATACGACTAATGGAGGCTTATCAAGAGGTAGGATATCATAAATCAAGGCTTTTTCTACTGCGTTGATGAGGATTATATGTTTATTTCCTGCTGGTCTTTAGGCATCAGCTTATTGTGTCCTTATGACTGTTATGTTACAGGGAAAGTAATAATCATTGTAGTTGCAGTTGTATGTTCTGTCATACTTTCGACTGTAATTGGTCTTTATATCAAGCGCAAAAGAATAGACAATAGAAAAGGTAAACAGCTATAGTTTCTTTAATCAACATAACTTCAACTTTAACCCAAACATATTAATCTCAATCTTTCCAGCTCCAAATGATGCCCAAAAATTAGCAAAGATCCTTTGGGATAGCAGCTTAAACTTCAAGTACTCCATACTTGAGAAAGCCACTGGGTCTTTCGATGAAGCCAACAAGCTAGGACAAGGTGGATTTGGTTCAGTTTACAAGGTTAGATTGTGTTCATACTCTCAATCAACAATATTTACTTCTACTGACTTGATTGTCTCTGATGAAGTCCAAGCTTATATTTTATCTGCAATGCAGGGTGTTCTATTAGATGGTAGAGAGGTTGCCGTCAAAAAGCTGTTGTTCAACAACATAAAACGAGCACAAGATTTCTATAACGAAGTCAACATTATTAGCAGTGTTGAGCACAAAAATCTTGTCAAGTTGTTGGGGTGCAGCTTTTCTGGTCCTGAAAGCCTTCTTGTATATGAGTTGCTTCCAAATAAGAGTCTTGATCAATTCATTTTTGGTGAGTCACTACATGTTACATCGGTATTAGACTATCACTTTTTTGTTCTTTTTTTTTTTTTTTTGTTAGGTCACGAATTGTCCTGAATAGACTCTAACTATTAGGATGTACCTTAAAGCCCGTACTGATACTATCTCTTTTGCCATGCTGATGTGGATTTGTTGACACTACAATCTCAATTGTTTATGTCAAAACTGACAGATCCTGAAAAGGGTAAAATACTAAACTGGAATAAGAGATTCAACATCATCACTGGAATTGCTGAAGGCTTGATCTACCTCCACGAAAACTCAAGGAAACGCATTATTCATAGGGATATAAAAGCCAGCAATATCCTGTTAGACTCGAGGCTCCATGCCAAGATAGCTGATTTCGGATTAGCTAGATCTTTTCAAGCAGACAAGAGCCATATAAGCACTGCTATTGCCGGAACATTGTTAGTATCACCTATTGCTATCAACTATCAACCAATGATGACCTTTCAGCTTCTATGTAGTGGCTAACTATATATGTTGTTAAATGCTGAAGGGGGTATATGGCTCCAGAGTATGTGGCTCGTGGACAGCTGACAGAGAAGGCAGATGTTTACAGCTTCGGAGTTCTATTGCTGGAAATTGTGGCCGGAAGACAGAATAACAAGTGCACAGCTCCTGAATACTCTGGCAACTTAGTTAACATAGTAAGTCCAAAAACATTGATATTTGGTTTTAAATAAACCTTAAAATTGATCCATAGGCCTTTCATAACTGTTCAAAACCACAGGTTTGGGTGCATTTCCAGCAAGGGTCAGTGGAGGAACTGTTTGATCCAAATTTGATGCTGCATAACTGTGGGAATAGCGTTAGAAGTGAGGCGTCGAGGGTGGTTCATGTAGGGCTCTTATGTACCCAAGAAATTCCATCACGGAGGCCATATATGTCCAAGGCATTAGAGATGTTGATGAAAAAGGATGAACATTTACCTACACCCACTAAACCGGCCTTCACATATGAGAAATCTATAGAACTTTGTGAGGCTACTGGGCTTAGAGGAGGTGATGGTGCTACAAATGCTACCATTTCCCAGAGCTCTTTCTACCCCAGATGACGTTTTACTGCCATGAAATTGACTAATCTGCTATTACTTACACAGCTTCATTATCTTTTTACAAATCAATACCTTATACCTATCAACAAGACAAGAATATTTCTGGCTTCAAGAATGGAATGCAGGCTGTTATCTAGGTCCAGAAAGTTCCATTGCTTCGACGACTAGAGAAGATTCTTCTATCAAGTCGTAGTATCTTTGTGGCACCGTATTTCCATGCCTTGGAGTTTCAGCTCGCTGTGAAGCCTCCCATTTTTCGGCTAAGCCATCACCTTCCAACATCCTTAACACTTCAGACATTTTCGGGCGATGACAAGGGTTAAACTGGGTGCATAGAAGGGCAACCTGAACCATTTCTTCTAATTCAATCCTGTCGAAATTGGTTCCCAGATCTTTGTCCACCATTAAGCTCAACTTCCTTTCTTGATGCAGCCTTTTTACCTAAACAAAATGCACAGTGAACTAGATAGAACACTAAGAATGCAGATCAATACTAAATGCAAAAATATAATGTTCCATTTCCAGATTATAAAATGTGACCAAAGGTGCAAGAAAATGGGGAAACATACCAAATCAAGCATTACTACTTTCTGGTTTGTCCCTTTCCCGAATTCAACAGCTTTCTGGCCAGTAATTAACTCAAGAAGCAAGATCCCGAACCCAAACACATCAGTCTTTTCGGAAGATTGGCCTGTCGATAAGTATTCTGGAGCGATGTGGCCAATAGTTCCACGGACAGCAGTAGACACGTGAGACTCGCGGTGATCCAAGAGCTTTGCCAACCCGAAATCCCCAACAACTGCCTCGAAGTATTCATCCAGTAGAATGTTGGCTGCTTTGACATCACGGTGGATGATTTTCGGGTCACACTGCTCGTGCAAATACACCAAACCCCGTGCTATTCCTAACGCTATCCTTTTCCTTCTTAACCAGTCCAATATAGGCTCACCATTCACATGATCTGTCGAAGCAAAATAATAATTGATCAAACAACCCGTATCTATAGTTACAAACACCTCAGCCCGAAGTTTTGCTAACCTTTTAATCTCGATGCCACGCTGCCATTTGGCATGAAGGGATAGACAAGAAGCCTTTCGTTTTCAGTTGAACAGAATCCCGAAAGGCGGAGAAGATTGCGATGGACAGCCAAACTAATCATCTCTACTTCTGTCTGGAATTGAATTTCGCCACCAGTAACGTTATAGTCCTTCAACCGTTTAACAGCCACAGTAGTCCCGTCATTTAAACACCCCTTGTAGACTATACCAAATCCTCCCTTCCCTAAAATATTCTTCGGGTTGAAATGGTCCGTTGCAGCCCGCAGTTCCTTGAAGGCATACCTTCTCAAATTCCCCAGGCAAAACTCGGCATCGTGTTTCTCTGCCAATTAACAAATAATGCTGAGATACAGACTATATAAATTTAACAGTCAAGGACTCGAGGGACTATGTGATAAGAGAAAAACGTGATTTCTATATAATAAGAACAACAGAACCATAGATTAGATGCATGAAGTAATTACCATCCAAATAAACGTTTCAGAAATTAAGACAAAACGAAAAACGCTCACCATTGACGTCAAAAAAGATCTGTTTGTTATGTCGATAGCGCCATCCGATAAGCAACACGACGACTATGATGATTAAGAAAGCAATGCCAAAGCTCGCACCAAAAGCAATCGCCACACGATGGCTTGCCCCACCTTTATCACTATCTGGTGGAAAGGACAGCGGTTCTGGATAGACAAGCGAGCAATTATCCACAGAACTCTCCCCGCAAATTAAAGGATTGCCAACGACTCTAAAAGCCACAGAGGAGAAGGGAAATAAGTCAATAACTTCAATGCTCGTTTTTTCTTTTTCTTTTTCTTTATGAAATTAGTGAGTATGCTAGTGTGAAGCGAGCTACTCACTTGAAAGCTCTAGCTGATAATTTTGGAAGGCTACCACTGAGGTTATTAAACGAAACATCCCTAAAGACAACATTAATTAACAACATTAACAACCAGATTATAGGTTATTCGAAAGACATGTTTCAAACTGTGAAATAGAAAAGCACGCGGAGACATACACAAGTGCAAGGCCGCCAACATTAGATAGAGATTCAGGGACTTGTCCCGTAAGACTATTGTTGTTCAATCGCCTGATTTGACCAAAAGAAGAACAAAACAATCGTGCAACATTAGTTCATCAATCGTAGAATTTTTCGGTGATTTATTTTAGCACAATTTCCTGAAACTTACAAGTAGTTCAAATTGATCAGGTCCCCGAGAGAGCTGGGCATATCACCACTGAATTCGTTGTTGGAGAGATCGAGCGTGTGAAGTTTTCCTAACTTCCCAATACTGGCGGGAATAGGACCAGAAATAGCATTGTTTTGCAGCAGCCTATATAAACAATGGCATTTTAGCAGAAAAGGTAAAGATTCAAATATACCTAATTAGAACAATATGCTAAAAACTTACACAGATTGCAAGTTAGTTAAGTTGCCAATTCCCGGTGACAACGTGCCAGATAAACTCTGACTTGGCAAACCCCTGATGAGTAAAAACGACATTATGGTTGTCATTATCAGTAATGAAGTAACCTTATACGCATCGAATAATCTGATACGTGTTGCCAAGAATGCTCCTTAGATTACTTACAAAGCAGAAACATAGCCATCGGGGGAACAGGTGACCATTCTCCAACTGCAGGGGTCTACAGAATTAACATCCCAGTTCTCCAGAACATTGTAAGGATCATGTAAAGAGGTCTTTATAGCCATCAAAGCAACCACTACAAGAAATTTAAAGCCTTTTTGTCATTGGCAGGGAGGGGGTGGAGTATTCATGGGTACAATATTTATGAGTTACATCATTAAATGCATGCATAGGATGAAACCCCAGTTGACAGTGGTAAAATTAAACAATTAAACAATTAAAAAACTCCAAAATAGAAGCTAACCTTCATAGTTTACACCAGTAGGGGAAAGAGTAGCAAAAGAACTCTCTATAAATACCCAGAGCACAAAGCCCAGAACTTCATAGAGTATACACCACTTTCTTGCCATAATCTCTCTTTATATCCTTCTGGAAGAAACACTTTACCCTCTCAGCAAAAACTTAACTTTTTCTTAAAAGAATGCTCTGATATGTTCACAAGTTATACTCCTCGTTATGGGCATATGAGAGACAGAGTTTGAACGATTGATTCTGTTCTTAACAAGAGAAGAGAGAGTTGGAGGAAGAATTTCCAAACTTACTAAGATAATTTAATATTCTCCCTAGAGTTAAAAGCTTACATGAGGAAACAATATTCTAAAATATGATTAGTTAAAATAAATATGGCAGCTACTAATAAAAGGAAATAAGATAACTAAACTGATTTCCAATCAATTTTAGCAGATTGGCAGCCCAGGATTTGTATTGTATCGTGCTCACAGCAAACAATAGCGCAAAGAGAGGCAACCATTTTCAAACAAATCCAGAGAGTCCACATTTTCCTTATCCAAGCAGGCAACTTTATAACATTATGGCTCTCAGGCCACAACCCAACTCTTAATATATCATAAAAGTGCCACTTTTTGGTTCAATTATCCACAAAAAAGAACCTCAAATGCCTGTCTCTTTCAAGAAATCAAAAAGACTTCAAAACCAGCTAATGGGAGTTTCTATTTTTGCATAATTGCACAAATTCTAAGCTAAATGGGGGCCAGATGGAGCTTTAAAACTAGCAAGAAAGAAAAAGGGAATTTTTCTTGAGATCTGGGAATGTTTGGGATGAGATTTCTGTTTCTTAACTGATCCCTACAAATTCCACCAGGGTAATTTTTGCTGGTTTTCAGGTTTAGCTATTGCTTCTTCTTCCCTTTCTTTCTTCACTTCTCCCACCACCATATCCTAAAAAGTTCACAATACCAAGAAGAATACAAGCACACCAAAAGGCCAAAATATAAGGTATGGACCTCACAGACTGAAGATATGGACAGTTTTGAATAGAGAAAAATAAGTTTTTTTTAAAAAAATAAAAACTGATTATTACATGTTGGAAAATATTACTCTTACTCCCAAATTTTACTCATAGCTAATCACCAATTGTCACATAAGAGAGTAAAAGTAATGTACTAGAAATAGGGAGTACATATAGACATATAGTAGAACTCTTAGCAAAATGCTTAGCGCCTCTATATTTATAGGTCACAAACTTGTCACTCTTGATATCGCAAGTTTTAATTGATTCTTTTTTTTTTTTTTTCAAATTCGTCAAATTAGAAAGTGACAAGTTTGCGAGGGATAAGTGTAGGGCACTACACATTATCTTTTATATTATATGATATGATTGAACATTAGAGGAGTGGAATGACCAAGCACCTTGTGCTCAGGTGATATGTAGTGACTTCTTTCATGTGGGAGGTCATGAGATCAAGCTTCAGTGGAGACGTTGACTCTGTGTGTAATAGAAATCGGTAGCATTCAAAAAAAAAAAAAAAAAAGAAGAGTGGAATGATTTAATTTGATTTTATTTATAAATTATAATTCAAATTTTTACTAAATTTTATATAATAAAAAATTCTATTAAAATTTTTATTAAATATATATTAAAAAAAAGTTGAATTTGAAAATCATTGAAAAAGATAAAAAATTTCTGACTAATGAATTGTGAAATTGTGATTATCAAGTTAACATTTGACCAACTTAGTTGGAGTTAATCCTAACAAAATATTATATTACTCGTACTAGAATGTATTATTATTTTATTATATGATTTGTAAAAAGAAAGTGTAAAATATTATTTTTATTATTAATTAATAAAATGAGTGTTACTATTTTTAAAATTTTGAATTAATATTAATATCAATTTTTGTTGTCTTATATGAAAGTGACACATGATGTGGACTTGAGAGGAGAATGGAGAATGGTGTGGGGATGATGAGAATCCGACATAACAAGAGGGAGGGAGGACTAGTGGAAGGCAATGATGGACCAGGGTCCACATACTATTATGGATATTGAATTGAAATGATGAGATACATAATTTATACTTGTAAGGTACAAGTCGTACAATATTTCATAGCACAATACACAAAAAATCATAATACAAGACATATACACATGTTATATATTTACTTATGAGTTAATACTCAAAATCGTCCTCGACTATAGTGGTTTTTCTCAATTTCGTCCTAAACGACTTTGGTGACCTAATATCGTCCCAGACTTTTGTGTTTCGCTCAATTTAGTCCTAGATTTTTGTGTTTTTGTTCAATTTAGTCCCTCATTTGTTATTCTGTCCATTTGGTGTTAAATAAATAGACAATTCAATAATTTTAATATTGGCATCTCTTTACTCATAGACATGTGAACTGCAAAATCCTTTTTTTTTTTACGAATTACTCCATAATTACTCTTAAAACTGCGAATATAAAATTTGATTTGCAGGTCCGGGAGTAAATCTGGGTGTAATTCGTACAAGAAAGAGGAATTTCGCACTTCACAAGTTGAAAGTAAAGAGAGATCAATATTGACATTACTGAATTGTCCTTATAATTTAACACCAATTTGACGGAATAACAAATGGAGGACTAAATTGAGCGAAACACAAAAGTCTGGGAAGATATTAGATCACCAAAGTCGTTTAGGACGAAATTGAGAAAAATCACTATAGTCGAGGACGATTTTGGGTATTAACTCATTTACTTATTTTTTAAATATGACTTAGGCACATAATTAGTATACATAGGTATAAAATTTGCGGGGAGATATGATTTTTAGCTTTGCAATAGGCCTCGCCAAGAAAGAAGAAAAGCATCGATGTATCGCGTGAGGCGCAAATCTAAGACCTAGCCTAAATCTTTACTTTTTTTAATTATTTTTTTTAAATTTGTTTTTTTCAGATTTTTTTTTCTTTTTTCTTTTTCCTTCATTTTTTCTCTTTCCTAATCATATCCACAAAAACTCTTCAACAAATACAAGTATGCAACTATTGAGATGCTCTAATACCTTGTGACTTGTGTTATGTGGTCATGATTTTTTAGGCACCCAAATTTGATGAGAAGAACTTATTCCCAGATAAATATCTAAAACCCAATTCCAAAAGAGAATTGAATTGAATTAGAAGAGATGGTTCAGATTGCCTTTCCACATACCCATCAACCAAAAATATGAAAGTCAGTATTCTCACAACAGTGTTGACATATATGCAGCATCTGTCTATCAGAAATTTCATCTGTACATATAGGGTATGTTACGTACAAAGCATTACATTTCCCTGTATATCTCATTTTTCTCTATTACAATCTCTTAAACAACTCCAAAGAATCATTTGAAGACATTTTCGATACGAAAATGTAAACGCACTTCATGTAATAAAGCATTTGCTGTCAACTCAGCCAATTTCATGCCAATAAATCGTCATCTGGGATAGAAAGAGCTCTGGGAAATGGTAGCATTTGTAGCACCATCACCTTCTCTAAGCCCAGCAGCCTCACAAAGTTCTATAGATTTCTCATATGTAAAGGCCGGTTTAGTGGGTGTAGGTAAATGTTCATCCTTTTTCATCAACATCTCTAATGCCTTGGACATGTAAGGCCTCCGTGATGGAATTTCTTGGGTACATAAGAGCCCTACATGAACCACCCTCGATGCCTCACTTCTAACGCTATTCCCACAGTTATGCAACATCAAATTTGGATCAAATAGTTCCTCCACTGTCCCTTGCTGGAAATGCACCCAAACCTGTGGTTTTGAACAGTTATGAAAGGCCTATGGATCAAATTTAAGGTTTATTTAAAACCAAATATCAATGTTTTTGGACTTACTATGTTAACTAAGTTGGCAGAGTATTCAGGAGTTGTGCACTTGTTATTCTGTCTTCCGGCCACAATTTCCAGTAATAGTACTCCGAAGCTGTAAACATCTGCCTTCTCTGTCAGCTGTCCACGAGCCACATACTCCGGAGCCATATACCCCCTTCAGTATTTAACAACATATATAGAATATAGTTAGCCACTACATAGAAGCTGAAAGGTCATCATTGGTTGATAGTTGATAGCAATAGGTGATACTAACAATGTTCCGGCAATAGCAGTGCTTATATGGCTCTTGTCCGCTTGAAAAGATCTAGCTAATCCGAAATCAGCTATCTTGGCATGGAGCTTCGAGTCTAACAGGATATTGCTGGCTTTTATATCCCTGTGTATAATGCGTTTCCTTGAGTTTTCGTGGAGGTAGATCAAGCCTTCTGCAATTCCAGTGATGATGTTGAATCTCTTATTCCAGTTTAGTATTTTACCCTTTTCAGGATCTGTGAATTTAGATGTAAACAATTGAGGTTTTAGTGTTAACATATCAATAACAGCATGGCAAAAGAGATAGTTTAATATATAGAGAATCACCAAAAATGAATTGATCAAGACTCTTATTTGGAAGCAACTCATATACAAGAAGGCTTTCGGGACCAGAAAAGCTGCACCCCAACAACTTGACAAGATTTTTGTGCTCAATACTGCTAATAATGTTGACTTCGTTGTAGAAATCTTGTGCTCGTTTTGTGGTATTGAACAACAGCTTTTTGACGGCAACCTCTCTACCATCTGGTAGAACACCCTGCATTGTAGATATGATCAGACAGAAGTGAATAGATGTAATTCCTGTTAAGTTGTTAATTGAGAGTAATTGAAGTCTAACCTTGTAAACTGAACCAAATCCACCTTGCCCAAGCTTGTTGGCTTCATCAAAAGACCCTGTGGCTTTCTCAAGTATAGAATACTTGAAGTTTAAGCTGCTATCACGAAGCAACATTGCTAATTTTTGGGCACCATTTGATCCTGGAGAGATTGAGAATGTTATAATGTTTTCTGAGTTTGGGTTAAAGTTGAAGATATGTTGATTGGAGAGAGAAACTAAAAGAAAGTGATTACCTTTTCTCTTCTCCATTCTTTTGAGCTTGATATAAAGACCAATTACAATCCAAACTATTACCGAACATACTACTGCAACGACAATGATTATTACTTTCCCTGTAACACACAAGCAAAGTTACAAGAAAACCAAACCTAAGACCAGCAACAAACATATAATCCTCCTTCATCGACATAGTAGAAAAAGCCTTGATTTATGAATTGTCCTACCTCTGGATAAGCCACCATTAGTTGTATTTAAGCCTCCATTAGTGGAATGAAGATCAATTGTCCTACCTCTTGACAAGCCACCATTAGTGCCATTTAAGCCCCCATTAGTGGAATCAAGAAAGTTGGTGTCCGAGTACCTCATGAAGCATCCAGTGTACAAAGCTCGACCCTCAGACCAAGGCAAGCATTGCAGCAAAGACCTAGATGCATTCCCCAAACATTCTCCGCAATTATCCATAATCTTCCAACAATTTGCTACAACATAAACAGTCTCGTTGTTCCTCCCAGAAACAGGCAACTCAACCTTTGCATAATCAGTATTGTTAGACGCATTTGAAACCGCTTGCACCACTGCCCTCCTAACTGTCTCTCCAAACACAGAATGTCTAGTGCTGTTTCCACAAACATGCGTGTCCTCTGGTCCTAATGCCTCTTTAAAGAAGGGGTAATTTTCGACTCGCATGAAACAACCATCAAGATAAAGCCTTCCCCCATTGAAAGGAAAGCACTGAGGTAGTACAGTGCGAGCTTCAGCATAACACAATACACAATCATGTAAGGAAAGATATCCATAGCATTGCGCTAATCCATACACAGCATCCGGTCCTAAGCCATTTGTAAAAAGTCCTGACCCCTGATTTGTTATTTGCTTAGAAATGCTTTCAAGCACATCGACTAAGTTTGGGACATAACTGGTGGTATTATGTTCCAGTTTGTTTCTACAAGTGAGTTGGATTACAGATGCAAAATCAGAGTGAGATACATGTTGATGTGGCAAAAGCAGAAGAAGAAGCATAAGAAGGCAGGCAACAAATGATGGGTTCAATTCCTTCATGTTTGATTCTCAGCCTGTTTTTCAGTAAACAAAATAATTAGTCTTACTTGTAAGTCCTACTAAACTAATAACACACCAGATTCAATACCATTAACTTTCAGGAAATATAATCAAATTAATATTAATCAAAATAAAAAAACATCTTTATATTCAGCGTCTCAGGGAATTGAAATAGAAAGCATGGTATTGACTAATTCAAGATTAATCACCTTCTTTTGGACATGGATGGGTTTACAGAAATTTCTGTTCTGATATGATGATTGATGAAGGATGTACTTAATTAATTCTTCCTTAGCTTCTTGAGACACAGAACAAGTATGGATACTGAGTCAAGATTGGAGGCTTAACACTTGTAATTACAAAAATTCTCTTTATAAATGTCCCCATCTAACATACTAATTAAAAACGAATTTAGTTATCAATTAAATACTGCTACATAACTACATCCTGAGAAAACAAAATATAAAAAGGATATATAACATTACTTTTCCAATTATAATAATTATTTATTTGAAAAATAATACATATATATAACCACACTTTGAAAAGTTTGATTTTTTAGGATTATTTAGGACCCACGAATGGAAAAACAATTCGTTAAAATTAAAATGGTTTGAAAGTTGAATCTGACTTATTCTTGCTTAGCTTGATGGCTTTTTTTTTTTTTTTTTTTTTTTTTTTTTTTTTTAAATTATGGTTTCATGGAGGAAGTCATGAAGGTATTGTGACGCAGGGGCAAATTATACCATCATCTTCATCCAAAATCACATTCAAATTATATATATACAATTAATAAATTATATGACATATAATATATTAATTATAGATACATACGGAGTAATATATCAGTTATAGATGCATAATATATTAATTGTATATACATAAGATGCGGTTTACATATTATATGTCTGATGTTAACATATTATATCCATCCAATTACATAATATGTTAACTGAATACACACAATTTCTATATTAAAGTTAATAATATAAGGTGAATCGTGATTCATGATATAACAACACAGGGGGAGTTAATGAGTAAGAGGAAATGGGCTTGCCTCATTTTTTGTTAATGATATTGATATCACGTCATTGAGAAGACATTAATCATTTAACTGCATCACTCCATATTAAGTTACAATGTCACTTCTCAAATTGAGCAAGTGATGAACTTGTCAACTCGGTCAACTCAGTTGATGCCCAACAGAATCATTCTTTGCTAGGGTTGCGAAGAAGGACAGAGAGGAGGGATTTTTAATTCTTTCAACCTTAACCTAACTAATTTAGTGCCAACACATTGAAAGAATGAGAATACCTCAGTCCTCATAGACTCTTTTAGGTAAGGTTTTCGTAGTTAGGGACTAAATTGAGCAAAAACGTCATCTAGGGTAGAAAGAGCTTTGGGAAATGGTAGCATTTGTAGCACCATCACCTTCTATAGAGTTCTCATATGTGAAGGCCGGTTTAGTGGGTGTAGGTAAATGTTCCTCCTTTTTCATCAGCATCTCTAATACCTTGGACATGTATGGCCTATGTGATGGAATTTCTTGGGTACATAAGAGCCCTACATGAACCGCCCTCGACGCCTCACTTCTTACGCTATTCCCACAGTTATGCAGCATCAAATTTGGATCAAACAGTTCCTCCACTGCCCTCTGCTGGAAATGGAGCCAAACCTGTGGTTTTGAACAGTTATGAAAGGCCTAAGGTTTATTTACAACCAAATAACATAGTTTTTGGACTTACTATGTTAACTAAGCTGCCAGAGTCTTCAGGAGTTGTGCACTTGTTATTCTGTCTTCCGGCAACAATTTCCAGCAATAGTACTCCGAAACTGTAAACATCTGCCTTCTCTGTCAGCTGTCCACGAGCCACATACTCCGGAGCCATATACCCCCTTCGCATTTAACAACATAATCAGCCACTACATAGACACTCAAAGGTCATTTGAGAATTTGGTTGATAGTTGATAGCAATAGGTAATACTAACAATGTTCCGGCAATTGCAGTGCTTATATGGCTCTTGTCCGCTTGAAAAGATCTAGCTAATCCAAAATCAGCTATCTTGGCATGGAGCCTCGAGTCTAATAAGATATTACTGGCTTTTATATCCCTGTGAATAATGCGTTTCCTTGAGTTTCCGTGGAGGTAGATCAAGCCTTCTGCAATTCCTGTGATGATGTTGAATCTCATATTCCAGTTTAGCATTTTACCCTTTTCAGGATCTGCGAATTTTGATGTAAACAATTGAGATTGTAGTGTCAACAAATCCACAACAGCATGGCAAAAGAGATAGTATCAGTATGGTACGGGCTTAAAGGTACCTCCTATATAGTTAAAGCCTATTTAGGTCACCTCATAGCCTAACCAAAAAAAGAAAAAGAGATAGTCTAATACCGATGTAACATATAGCGACTAACCAAAAATGAAGTGATCAAGACTCTTATTTGGAAGCAACTCATATACAAGAAGGCTTTCGGGACCAGAGAAGCTGCACCCCAACAACTTGACAAGATTTTTGTGCTCGATACTGCTAATAATGTTGACTTCGTTGTAGAAGTCTTCTGCTCGTTTTGTGCTGTAGAACAACAGTTTTTTGACTGCAACCTCTCTACCATCTGGTAGAACACCCTGCATTGTAGATCAACTATAAGCTTAGATATGATCAGACACAAGTGAATAGAAGTAACTCTTGTTAAGTTGTGAATGGAGAGTATGAACTCGATCTAACCTTGTAAACTGAACCAAATCCACCTTGCCCGAGCTTGTTGGTTTCATCAAAAGACCCGGTGGCTTTCTCAAGTATGGAATACTTGAAGTTTAAGCTGCTATTACAAAGAATCTTGGCTAATTTTTGGGCATCATTTGGAGCTGGAAAGATTGAGATTAATATGTTTGGGTTAAAGTCGAAGTTATGTTGATTAGAGAAACTAAAAGTGTTTACCTTTTCTCTTCTCTATTCTTTTGCGCTTGATATAAACACCAATTACAGTCCAAATTATCACAAAACATACAACTGCAACTACAATCATTACTAATCTCCCTGTAACAGTCATAAGCACACAAGCTAAGTTCCAAGAAAACCAAACCTAATGCCTAAAGACCAGCCAGCAGGAAAAAGCCTACCTCTCGATAAGCCTCCATTAGTCCTATTTAAGTCTCCATTGGTCCTATTTAAGCCACCATTAGAGATAATAGGACCAAGAAAGTTGGTGTCCGAGTACCTGATGAAGCATCCAGTGTACAAACCACGACCCTCAGACAAAGGCAAGCATTGCAGCATGGACCTAGATGCATTCCCCAAACATTCTCTGCAATTATTATTATTCAAAGTTTTCCAACAATTAGCAACAACATAAACAGTCTCATTGTTCTTCCCAGAAACAGGCAACTCAACCTTTGCATATCCAGTATTTTTAGACGCATTTGAAGCCGCTCGCAACACTGCCCTCCTAACTGTCTCTCCAAACACAGAATCATTTCTAGTGATGTTCCCACAAACATGCCTGTCCTCTGGTCCTAATGCCTCTTTAAAGAAGGTGTGATTTTCGACTCGCATGAAACAACCGTCGAGATAAAGCCTTCCCCCATTGAAAGGATAGCACACAGGTAGTACAGAGCGAGCTTCAGCATAACACAAGTCACAATCATGTACAGAAAGATATCCATAGCATTGCGCTAATCCATAGACGACAGCACCCGATCCTATGCCATGTATAGCAACTCCCCACCCTTGATTTGTTATTTGCTTAGAAATGCCAGCAAACATACCAACTAAGTTTGGGACAAAAGTGGTGGTATTATGTTCCAGTTTGTGTCCACAAGTGAGTTGGATTACAGCAAAATCAGAGTGAGATAGATGCGGTAAAAGCATAAGAAGGCAGGCAACAAATGATGGGTTCAATTCCTTCATGTTTGATTCTCAGCCTGTTCTGATCTTCATTAAAGAAAATAATCAATCCTACTTGTAAGTCCTACCAAACTAATAACACACCAGATTCAATAGCATTAACTTTCAGGACATTAATATAATCAAATTATAACTAATGAAAATAAAAAACTAAAGCATCATTCAGGGTATTGACTAATTCAAGATTCATCACCTTGTTTTGACCATGGGTTTGCAGAAGCTTCTGTTGTGATCTGATGAAGGATATAGTGTATTGAATCAAGATCGGATCGAGGCTTAAGCTGGGGAGTGAATGAGTCAGACTGTCAGTGGAAATGGGGTTGCCTGATTTTTTTAATGACATTCATATCACGAGAGACCGTCAGCATGGTATATTTTTAATTTATTTTTTAAAAACGTACGTGTCATAATTACGATGGTATTCACGGTTCTTGGAGCCCCCACGGAAGAAATAAAATGTATGATATGTTTGTTTGATTTTATGTGAGGTTTGGTTGATGGTTTTGTTGGTATCGAGTCCATCATAAAATTGTGTATAGAAATATAGCACATGAGTAGGAAAATAATTATCTTATTGTCACGAGCGTGTGGCCCAATAAAATAAATACAAAGTCCAAGAGACGATAACAGGACTCAAATTCTAATATGTCAGTAGGAGGAAGACGACTAGACCACTTGACCAGATGAGTATCTGTGTCTCTGAGGTGTGTCATAACCAGACCGACCCCTCCCCTTTTATACTGTCACCCAGACTCCGGATGGCGTCCACGTGTACGTCATTTCTGAGAACCAACCTCCGCCAACCATGTGCCCCACATCGCCCAACCTCCAACCTTGACTACATGCATGCTGCCCACGTCACCAGACTTCCTGCTTGCCTCCATACCATGTAGCTAGCAGCCTAGCACCCCGCCATGCCACCATGCGACCAGCACCCCATAAGCCATGCGTCATGCGACTACATACCATCAGCTGTGCGACCACCTGTCATCCCTCCGTTTGCATCAGCACATCTTCATGTCCACGCCGTCCCTCCACCTGCATCAACACATCTTCACCACACTAGTCACGCGCATGTACGTCTTCAATACTGCCCCCCCCCCCCCCCCTTACGGCGGGGTGTCGTCGCCACACCACGGGGCACCGTACCCCAGGCCCGCCGAGGGTGGTGGCCGGTCGTGACGGGTTAGTAAATCTGCCCACCCATGAATGTAGTACTAAATATAAGAAGTAGCGTCTTGGTAAACAAGTAATGGAGTGGCCTAGTAGTTTGTGTTGTGCGTGGTAAGGAGGTCTGCGAGTTCGATTCGATACCATCTCCCTTTACTATTTTACTCCAAGCTCCAAGCCATGACTTTTTGGATCACCATGCCTTTATAGCCCAACAACATTTGAACCAACCTCTTTCATTCACCACTCCATTTGAGTCCAGACTTTCTCAATAAAATAGGTCACGGGGTCCCTTGGCCCCATCAGCTTCAAACAATAAAAATAAGTAAAATGTAATATGAATACTATTTTACTCTCTGGTTCTTAAGGTGAATAAAAATGAAATTCTACGATGAATTATATTATTGTGTTTGGTTAAATTGGGAGTTTTGTTTTGTTTGATTTTTTCGCACTTGTCAGAATAAGAGGTCAACACTCAACAGTGGTTTGAGATTGCAAGCTTAAGCAAAATGTCGATTTCAGCCCTACTAAAAATTGAGTATTTTTCCTCCGGTGAGATTTTGATGAAAAATTGGCCGGAATGACCATTTTTGCAAAAAAACAAAAAACAAAAAAAAAAAACAAAAAACAATAGTCGTGGACTAAGATTGCAAGGTTTGAAAGTCGCGAATCAATCTTGATAGTGTCACTATAGTTGTGGGACCAACAGTGCAAAAAACTTAATGATGTAATATTACAACACCAACACTGACACCAATACCAACAACTAGCACCATCACCATCACCACCACCACCACACCACCAACACCAACATCAACAAATACTACCACCATCACCACATACTATTATTATTGTTGTTGTTGTTGTTATAACAAATAATATGTTTATTTTCAGGAAAATGAACCAAATAGAAATTAAAAATTCTTAACTTTCAACCAAACAAAAAAAAATTAGTTTTCAGAGACATTCATCCAAACACCAGAAAATTAAAATATTTTTTAAAAAATGAGTCATTTTTTGAAAATTATTTTATTAAAAAAATATTTTCCAAGTTTTCAAATGGTCCTTAGTTCAAACACATCATGACAAAACATGCATCTCAAATCAAAATCTCAATAAACTTAAAAATAAATAATATACAATTTACAAACATACAAAAACCTATATATGACATTAAATGTCATGAACCACACCCCCGCCCTCCCCCCAAAAAAATGAGTTGGCCTGGTCAAATTGCTCAAAATATATAATTATATTTGAAGTAAAAAAGAAATCCAAACAACCAAAAAGATATATATATATATATATATATATATATATATATATATATATATATATATATATCAATTATTTATTCATCAAATTACTATCTAAAATTATATATAAATAAATTATATTCATAATCAAACTCGACAAGTGCAGTAGTTATATTAAAAGATAGAGATATATCTTTTAAAAGTTGTCTTAAACTTACACAACTTGTAAATTATGTCTTGATAAATTAGCAGAAGAGTCCAATGATAGATTTACTAGTGTAGCGTTTGAAAAACTCAAATAAAAAAAGTAAATAAAAAAATGTTAATATGGGATCTCTAGAATGCAATCCTTAGATAGCACGTAAATAATGTATTTTGGGAGTCTTTCTATTCGTCAGCCATTGTATTATACAATGGTAAATACAATTAAAGACAAGACAAAAGCAAACTTAATAAGTGTACCATGCATTTAAACACAAATTAAAACAACTTAATTAGGTAAAATAATGATCTTCCGACAAGGAACGAAACATCAATCATTTAACAGTTGTGAACATCGTTAGCCTTCACAAATCACACTCCCTTTTCATTGTCCAATTCTAGCTACTACATGCAGTCATAACAACATTAACTCCCCACAGGAATCTACTACCATACTAGGAACATAAAATGGGTGAAAATGTCGTGAAAACCGATGCATCTTTGCCTTTTGAACAAGACACCATTCAATACTTTTCCAGAATTAGATATTTGATCCCTTCAGTCCAAGGGTGCATGCCTTAAATCACTTGTTTTTTAGAAACCATCCTCTTCTCTGTGGACCTGAAACTTGTTTGCAACAGCTAGCAGGAAGCTTTAGTCATTAGTAGCATAAATGGTTAGAAATTTGCAGGTGGAACAGCAAGCTCTACCTGCCTATTTAATTGTATAACCTTTGTGGCCTTTTAATAAATTTAGATCATGTGGGCATGCAGACTTGATGAACTTACATCCTGTATATAGTTTGTTAATTATTTTATTTTTCTTGCCTTTAGTATGCATGCATGGAAATGATTATCTTCAAATTTATTGCGGTTGTGCCAATAAAATAATTAATCAATTCAAATGATTGGTCGGAAGGTGAAAGACCAAGTCCAGCAATTTGTGGCTATATATAAGTCAAGTCCAACACCCTAACCCATATATATGTATATATTTACCAGGGCTATATATGGGGCAAATTATTTTGTGGACCACGGTCCAAAACATCGTCGCGTATATTATGAGTAAAAAAAATGTACATTATGTGTTAGGGCGTATATATATAACTATTGTATATATGTGGTTGGGGTGGAGGGGGCAGCTGCCCCTACTGTGGGTCTGTCCATGAGTAGCAGCAAATTGTAATTTGATAATATAGGGTCAATTTTTAAAAATGAGGAAGAATTGGCCTGGTGATAGATAATAAAGAGGATTTAGTATATAAAGGATTTAATCTACAACTAGGATGAATTTAAGAAATCCTAACTCATATATAAATGTACTATATGCAGTACGTACTGATGCAAGCTAAGAGAAGCAACTAAGCAAGTGTGGCTAAGTAATTAATGGAGTCATATATTCCCTAGTACTTTAATTTGTCCTATAATAATAATCAATCATCAATTCACATGAAACCTAATTATGTATGGTTTAAACTTTCATTTTTCTTTATTTCACCATTATTATATCATTGAAGACTTATTACTTAAGTTTTCGAACTCTAAACTTAATGATAAATTATTATTTTTGTTCTGATGATTATTGGAGAAGGTAAATGCGAAATATGTGACTCAATTGACTAGGTGGTTTCCAAATATAATGCTCGTACACTAGTATCTATTACAATGCTAAATTCACACCTTATTTTTTAAGTCCTTAGATATAATTAATTTAAGAGTTAATTTTATTTTTGTCTTAGATTTATAGGTAACATTCCACTTTTAGTCATTTTTTTCTCAAAACATTTCTTGTTGGCCCTAGTATTATAGTGTCATGACCATTTTTTTGTCCACCGTCAACAACACGGTTCAATCTATTCAGTTTTAAGTGTTAATTCACTTTTTTGTCATAAATTTATGTGTCATTCCACTATTGCGGTCTGCGGAGGCTCAAGTTGCAAAGGCGCTGCTATGGAGGCAAGGATTGCCATGAATTAGAGATTTTTTTGAAAAAATAAATATAAAAATATAGCGAGTTAGCCTACTTTGTATAAAAAGAATTAAAGACTAGAATGCCCTCGTATTTAACGTCATTTAAACAAGTTTGTTGATGGATGACTAAAAATGATCATGCCATAATAATACTATAACCAACATAGGTTGTTCTGAAAAGAAAAAAAAAAAAGACTAAAAAAAAATTGCACATATATATCTAGGACAAAAAATTAACTCTGACTAGAAAATTTATTACCTGCTCCATAACTCCCGTGGTACATGGATTGCACATTTATCTCTACGCTTTCATGGTGTTGACTTGTTTGAGATGGGGCCACTTCAAATTTTTTTCAACATACATGCAACAAACAATTTAGACATTTAAGTGCAGTTGTTATTGATGGTGGTGTTGTTATAATACATGAGGAACTTTAAATTTATCATAATATGTTCTATATTACCTCCATCCATTTAATTGTCCTGCTTTTTTTTTAGTTTATCCAAAATAATATCTACTTCCCAAAATTAAATACTATGGAATACAAATTTTATACTTTTTAATTTACCATTTGAAAATAAAATTATATCTTATTTATTTTCTTAAAAATTAAACAAAATATCACTATATCTCTTATGAAATGAGCGGAATTGAGTAAATATATTCTAGCTCAACTTAAAGAGTTAATTCTATTAATGATCTTTTGATTATTGACTTTTTTTTTTCAAATTTAATCCTTGACTATTTGAATCCTAATGAGCCAGTGATGCACTCAATGCATAACACATGCATATCATCATTGGTTTATTGGTTTGAAAACAACTTTTCAAAGGGATGATTATATGTGTTTTAAGGCATGACATTTTGATTGGTTTTCTCTTCCTATTCACAATTGTGATGGCAAGTTAAACGATTTTGTATGTGAATTACTAATAAATTTTAATGTAGTCGGGTATTGTATCAATGTGAGTACTTAATGATTGAAATAAATCGTTATTTCAATTGCTGATTAATTACTTGTGTATTTTCAAATATTCAATTGCTTAGATAGTAGCTCAGTTAGTTATATATATTTTTAAATAAAGACTTAGCTTATTGTACGTATAAGTAGATAAAATCAATGTACAGCTGAAAATTCAGGATAAGAAATTATTACAAGGTGAAATAATTTCTAAATTTCAAATTGTCAAGGTGGTACTTCAATCAAACCAAATAGATGATCAAACACAACTATAGATCATCTAAACAACAAACTTAAGCTTTTCACAACAATGACTAGCTATCTCCGCAAGACACCGAATCAAGAACTCAAAGTGAGATTCGTTGTATTTCTGCCTAATTATGGCTAGATAGGATAAATGTTTCGTAGCTTTCTTTCCTCGCATTGGGTTGTGAACTTGACTACTAGGTTGTAAAAGAAATTGATTAATCCCTTGAGTAACCTCGTGAACCAATGTTGAGCTAATCTGTCTAGCTAGGGTTGATAAGAAGGCTCTACATATGACTGGCTTCATGGATATATATATCCCATTAACATCATGGTCGTCTGGTAAGCCATGACATGCTTTTGTGGGTCCCCTCTCCCTCCAAACTGCTTCACGCTTGGGGTCTTGAAGTTCACGAAATGGATTCTTCCATAATTCGCTTTGTGAAAGGGGTGTACATGATCGTGAGTTCGTGACCTTGCATATTGCAATTATCGTCTTCTCCTTCCCATCATACTAACTCTTCAATCCTTTTATTTACTTTGTCAACCCACTCCCCTGGGACAAATACTCGGGCCTCCCTTCGCTTGTTAGCAACCCATGGGCCTTCGAAGTCTAGGACCCGATCGGTACTCTCATCTATTGCCTCGCCAAGGGCAAGCTTTGGTTTTTCCCTAATAGGCCCCTTTCATTTGTCTTCACCTACAGCCTGGGTCGGGGCCCCTTGCCCTAAGGTCCCAACCTTTCCGTCGTCAACGTCCTCCCACCATGAGGTGTGATATGCGAGTGGGAAGTGGGGTTGCTTGGGCTTTTGGGCCAGCGGTTGCATGCTGCACCTAGTCAGGTTGCGGCCCCATTGTTCTTGGGCGCGCTACCCACTTTCCAATAATGTTTTCTAACTCTTGGGCCAACGGTGGGACATTAGGCCCTTCTCTTAGGGGTCTCGGGTTAGTTCTTGCTGCCAGAGCGTCCTCTTCGACCACCAAGGTACTGGTCGGACCCCTAGTTTTTCCTAGTCGAGAAACGGGCCTTTGGGAACATGATTTTCTCCCTTCTCGACGAGTGAGGTGTTCCTGCAGGTCTTGGGATGGATTGTGTGTTTCCTAACCCGTCCATTTCATTACAATTCAGGACTAATTTTGAGAAAATTTGTGTGAAGTCGGGTAAGTTTTAGGAACACGGACTTTTCCTAGCAATCTCCACAGAGAGACGCACTACTACAAAACACACTTACCACGGCGGTTATTTTTATAAATACACGGCGGTTCTTGAAGTGCCGTGTAAGTGACCGCCTTTGTAAATAAAAACTTTCTACGGCGGTTATTTGAACTGCCGTGTATACTTCTAAAACACGGCGGTTGCTAACCGCCGTCTAATCTCACGATGTATGTCGTGTAATCTCAACAATTATATGTATAGACGACGCTTTTCTTGAGGAACCGCCGTCTATTCATATGTATAGACAGCGGTACAATATAAGAACCGCCGTCTATTCATATGAATAGACGGCGGTTCAATGTAAAAACCGCCGTCAATACATATGAATAGACGGCGGTTCAATGTAAGAACCGCCGTCTATGCATATGTATAGACGGCGGTTGTCTTGAGGAACCGTCGTCTATACATATAATTTTCACCTTAAAAGAAAATAAAATAAAATTACATTATATATTCAATGGCTCCTGGGGTCGCTTGGTTCATCAGGGCCCCAAGCCCAAGGTGCAGTGTAAGGCCAAGGATCCCCACGCTTGGGGCCCCAAGCCCAAGGATCATTGTTATGAGGGTTCAGGGAACTTAGGGCCCCAAGCCCAAGGTGCAGTGTAAGGCCAGGATCATTATTATGAGGGTTCAGGGAACTTAGGGCCCCAAGCCCAAGGTGCAGTGTAAGGCCAAGGATCATTTTTATCAACAATAATCCAACCCACGCTTGGGGTGGGAATCGATCCTTGGCCTGCCTTTTTGAAGGTCCATACCGGATACCATCAGACCACAAGGGAGATGGTTAATTACGCTATGTAGGAACATAATATACGTGCACATGTATATAATTAGAAAATACTAGGTTTTCTTGGATTAAGAAACTATTAAGCTTAATGAATAATATTGATTTAGGAAAATTTAATAAAATTAGTCGTATGCACATACGGTCCTCGTACAATGCCTAAAAAAATATGGAGTATCACACCTTTACACGGCGACCGCCGTCTATTAAGTGACGTAAATATATATTAGAAGGCGGTTATTTAAGAATCGCTGTTTATTAAGTGACGTAAATATATATTAGAAGGCGGTTATTTAAAACCGTCGTCTATTAAGTGACGTAAATATATATTAGAAGGCGGTTATTTACAACCGCCGTCTATTAAGTGACGTAAATATAAATTAGATAGCGGTTATTTAAGAACCGCCGTCTATTAAGTGATGTAAATATATATTAGAAGGCGGTTATTTAAGAACCGTCGTCTATTAAGTGGCGTAAATATATATTAGAAGGCAGTTATTTAAAATCGTCGTCTATTAAGTGACGTAAATATATATTAGAAGGTTGTTATTTACAACCGCCGTCTATTAAGTGACGTAAATATAAATTAGACGGCGGTTATTTAAGAACCGCCGTCTATTAATTGACGTAAATATATATTAGACCGCGGTTATTTAAAACCGCCGTCTATTAAGTGGCGTAAATATATATTAAAAGGCGGTTATTTAAAACCGCCGTCTATTAAGTGACGTAAATATATATTAGAAGGCGGTTATTTACAACCGCCGTCTATTAAGTGACGTAAATATATATTAGACGGCGGTTATTTAAGAACCGCCGTCTATTAATTGACGTAAATATATATTAGACGGCGGTTATTTAAAACCGCCGTCTATTAAGTGACGTAAATATATATTAGAAGGCGGTTATTTAAAACCGCCGTCTATTAAGTGACGTAAATATATATTAGAAGGCGATTATTTAACAACCGCCGTCTATTAAGTGACGCCGTATATAATACACGGCGGTTATTTAAAGACAGTCGTCTATTAAGTGTCGTAGTATATAATAGAAGGCGGTTATTTAAAGACCGCCGTCTATTATGTGCCGTAGTATATAATAGAAGGTGGTTATTTAGAAAACCGACGTCTATTATGTGTCGTAGTATAACAAAATATAATAGAAGGCGGTTATTTAAAAAACTGCCTTCTATTAAGCGACGTAGTATATCATTTCTGTAATAGTGACGGTACCAATGATGATTTTTACGGGATCGGATCCATTAGTAAACTAGATAAAAAAATATATAAATCGAATGAGTAAAAATAACAATTGTAATAAAACACAAGTCAATAACTAGCTTGGTTGGAGTGAGTGGCTATGCACTCTTGTACCTTGAGGGGTTGAGAGTTCGAACCATCTCTTGTATGGAAAAATCAATCTATCGGTTGATAGAGCCTATATATATATATATATATGTGGTCTACTACATACTATAACAGATAACTCATCTCCTCTCAGTATTGCTCTCCCTTTTACCCTACATTTCAGCAATGAACCCTCTCTTCAATCTCCAAGACCAGCTGTGCTATGTAAAATGTGGCCACTGCACCACCATTTTACTTGTAATAATAATTCTCAATACACACATAAACTTAATAATGTCTTCCCTTGTGTTACGTTGTGAGTGATGCATATATATATTCTCTGATCTGATGGAATACAATATATATGCAGGTGAGCGTGCCCCGGAGCAGCCTGTGCACGGTGGTGACGGTCAGATGCGGCCACTGCACCGCCATTCTTTCCGTCAACATGATGGTCAGAACTTCACTTGTCCCTTTCCACCTCTTGGCTGCTTCCCTCGATCATCATCATCATCAGGTAATTAATTAATTAATCACTTCATAATCTACATCAGCTACAACAGCATTATCGTACTTCAAGTCATAATGTTTCTGCACTGATGCAAAAACCAAAGCAGTGGAAACAAGAAGGAGAAGAAGAAGAAGAAGAAGAGCAAGAAGGGGATTCCAATAATAACCCAAAACCCTGGGAGAAAAACAGCCCCTTCTTGGAGGAAGAAGACAATAATGATGATTCCCCAGTTACCCAAACTGCCGTCACTAAACGTATATATAGTATTCATTGTTTTCACACAAATTTAATTATATTAAACATGAAATTCAGGAACATTATTTTAACTGTTCATTCATTCTTGCAGCTCCTGAGAAGAGACAACGAGCTCCCTCAGCTTACAACTGCTTCATCAAGTAAGCATCTAATTAATCATTTCTTTAATTATTTTTTTCTGCAATTTTTTATTTTACTTTTAATTTTTTATCTGCATTATCAGAGAAGAGATCAAGAGACTGAAGGCTTCGAATCCTTGCATGAGCCACAAGCAGGCCTTCAGCGCTGCGTCCAAAAACGTAAGTTATCTAATCCCAGAAGCATAATTTTTTTTATAAATAAAAATCTAAGAATATAATAATGATATGAATTTGAAATAAAATTTGAAGTGGGCCCATCTGAGACCAAGTCAACACCATGAAAGCGAAGGAGGAAGCTATGATCAAGAAGAGATAAATGTGCAGTCCATGTACTCGGGGACTGAGCAGGTAAGTCTTCAGTTCTATAATGGTGAAATATAATTAGGTTTTGTGGGAATTAATGATTGATTGATTATTATTATAGGACAAATTAAAGTACTACCTACGTACGGTATATATATGATGAGCAACACTACACATAGTTTCACTTTTTACTTATTTTTTTTTACTTATGATAACATACTTTAATTTGATTAATCCATACCAAAAAAATGTGGGCCACGATTTTGCTGATTTCTTTATTTTATGTTTCTCCAATAAAATCTAAAAAAAATATGGGTGGAGTTTTACTATGTTGAAGTACACTTAACATCATCACTAGTACTTAGTACATACATATATAGGTTTAAACTCTAAACCTAGAACCCGTGACCCCTTTAATTTATCGTGGAGATTGTGAGATGAGGTATATTAAAGGATGTGCCTCTATAACGTAGGGTCTGAGTGCTCACTTTTCGTCTCAAGGTTGAGATCCTCCCCCATTTAAGACTCAAACCCAAGTATTTGCTAGGTCAGATATGCTACACTTAACTTTTCGACTACTGAGCTATGCCCCGAGGCCTTATTACATACATATACATTAGTGAGTGTTTAATTAAGTTTGTATTAGATATTGTTCCATCATACGCAATATAAACTTACAAATTTTACAATTCACTTTGAGATGATACTGGGTACAAGAGTTAAGGTGTTGACCAGTACTTTAGAAATTAGCAATTTGTATATATAGTATGTGAAGTTATTAAATGGAATTGAATCAAAGTATACATCAACTCTGCATGTCCACATGGTGTAAATTTATTGAATGGCCACAAAGGATATAGAAACAAATAGGCAGAGGTGGCTGGAACACCTGCAAATTTCTACCCATTTATTCTATTGATGAGTAAATTAAATTAAGTTAAGCTGATGCATAGCCTTCTTCTTGTTGTTGCAATCAAGTTTCAGGTCCACAGAGAATAGGATGGTTTCTACAAAAGATGTGCTTTAAGGCACGCACCCTTGGAGTGAAAGGATCAAATCTCTCATTCTGGAAAAAGTAGTATTGAATGGTGTCTTATGCAATTAAACACACATTGGTTTTCGCAAAATTTTAAGCCATTTTATGTTACCTAGTATGGTAGTAGATTCCTAAGGGGAGTTTAATGTTGTTATGACTGCATGTAGTAGCTAGAATTGGAGAATGTGAAAGCTGCCAATGTTCACTACTTCTGTTTAATGATTGATGTTCCTTGTCGGAGTATCATTATTTTAACTAATTAAGCTTAGTATATGCTAATTAAGCTGCTTTTTTTTTTTTTTGTTGCAATAGTACAATTATCTATTAAGTCTACTTGTCTTTAATTGTACTTGGACCTTCCATTTCTTCTCATATGATCATATTTCTTTGGCATATATACAGTCATCCAAATTCCACATTGAATTCAAAATAAAGATCAGACTTAATCCCAGCTGAGGTACCTCGTCTTTGATAGCATTTTCAAGTTTAGTCTAAGATAATTATTTTTGTTTAACACTTCAGACTATCATATTTTGGATACTTTTGATCCTTTGGATAATTTTTTCGGTGAAATCCTATTTTAAGAAAGAGTATTTTTCGATGGCGAAGAAGATGCTTCTTTCTTCCTCCCCCTCCTCCTTTTCTACTCTACAACTATAGTACATTATTCATAAAATCATGGACTAAAACAATAGCGGTCAAACTGAAATCGATCGGGTGACGACATATTGAGCTTTTCAAATGCGTTGCAAAATGATTCCCCTCGCATTTGAAAGTCTTCACGTACCCAGTATCGTTATTGACGAATATATGAATGAAAACTTGGGATCAGAGTGAAGGAGATAATATCTTTTAAAAGTTCTCAAACTTATACAACAATTTTGTATATTATAAATTAGTGGGCATCTTTTAATTAAATTATTGCATAGATATGATGCAATTAAAGTATATCATGATAGCTAAGACTTTGTGGTCTAATGACACCAATGCTGAACTTTCAAATGGGAGGTCTCCAGACTATCATATTTTAGACACTTTTGATTTCCGATAACTTTTTCAAGTGAAACCCTGTTTTAGACAAGGGCATTTTCGTGTATTCATTTTTTTCTAGTTTTATGCGCTAGTTTGTTTTCCCGTCTCTTCGTGGATTGCATTATCTCATTCACTCGACTCTTGTCTTTGGTCCTGTTTAGTAAATGGTTGTTAGCTATCAGCTGATTGGGTTAATTAGATGGTATAACTAGTTGATAACATTAGCTGATTGTAGAAATGTGTTTGGTAAATTAGTTGTTAGCTGATAGCTGTTTGGTATAATTTCTTTTCTTAAAAAGCTAATTGAAAAAGTTACTTTAAGTAGCTTTTTGAATTTTAGCATTTTGCATTGGAGTACAAAAAGCTAATTAACCAAACATTTATATTGATTTTTAAACCAAGTCAAACAACTAATAGTGGTCAAATAAGCCAGCTTTTTGAATTTTAGCATTTTAAAGTACAAAAAGCTAATTAACCAAACATTTATATTGATTTTTAAACCAAGTACAATCAAACAATTAATAATGATCAAATAAGCCAAAATTAGCCCCCTTTTTTTTCCAAACCAGCTCAATGAAGGGATGAAGTACTAGTCTTTCCATACGAAAGATGATTTGAACTCCCGACATCTCTTTAATTAAGGGATGAAAGTGCATAGCCACTCACGCCAACCAAACTAGTTATGCATTGAAATTTGTTGTATTTTATTTTGTTTAATTTTATCTTTTAATTAGATTATAGTTAAATTAACAAAAATGACGGCATTTAAATTTTGAAGAAAAAAAAAAGAGTATATATAGTGACTAGTGAAGTAAAAATGCAAAAAAATAATAATAATAATAATAATAAATAAATAAATAATACGTAACGTAAAGAATTGAGTTTATTTTACTTTTAGTTATTAATCTTGATTTACTTTTAGTTATTAATCTTGATTTACTTGTAGTTATAGACTTTAAAATTGTTTCAATTTTGTAGTTTAAATGCCTATAGTTTGTAAAATGTTTACAGTACAAAAGGGAGGGGAGAAAAGCCAAAATCATTCAATGTAGCAACGAATCAAACCAACAACTAATTATTATCCACAATTTTTTTTAGTTAAACCACAAAATGTTTTAAGTAGGTCCTAATTATGAAAGACACATTTAATCACGTTCTATATTCAAACTAATACACCACCAGGTATTCTAATTATAAGAAACACGTTTAAGCACGTAATATATACTCAGACTAATCCACAATTTAGTGGTCGAAAGACTCTAAATCTTCATTGCCATACTCGACCTTGGACTCAGAAATCTTGTCCAGCAACTTGTTGATCTGCTTCATGGAAGGCCGAGCTTCAGGCCGTTTCTGCAGGCACATTCCGGCGATCGTCACCATCTTCAGCACAGTCCCCGGATCATAAAACCTTTGTTCTCCCCTGGTCAACCTCGGATCCATGCTCGTTTCCATGATGTTCCGGTCGGAGAAGCACTTCATCAGCAGATCCAGCACCGGAGTTTCTGGGTCCGGCTCCGACGACAGCGGCTTCCCCATGAGGAGCTCGCACAGGAAAACCCCAAACCCGTAAACGTCGTTCTCCTTCGTGGTCGAGTACGAGGTAAAGAGCTCCGGCGCCCGGGATAAGAACATCGTGACGGTTTCCGGCGTTAAATTGGGATCGTCTTTGTGAAGATCGGCTATGGTTTTGTACACGTTTAGCTTGGGGAAGACGGCGTAGGATAGCTTGACGTTTAATTCCGAGTCTAAAAGGACTCTCCGGGAGCCGAAGGTTCGGTACATTACGCCGTTTTCGTGGAGGTGTTCCATGGCGAGGCCGGTTTGGATTGCGATTCTAATCCGCCTTTCCCAGGAAATGGGTTTGTGGGGGTTGTCGTAGTCGAGGAGGCGGTCGTGGGCGCTGCCGTTCTTGACGACGTCGAAGACGAGGAAGCAATAGGCGCGGTCTTCGCGGCGGGGCTCGGCGCAGTAGCCGAGGAGGGGGACGAGGTTGGGGTGGGAGATCGTCTCGAGTTTCTTGATTTCGTGGAGGCATTTGGGGAGATCGCCGGGGAGGAGGCCGCGGCTGAGGTTGCGGACGATGATCTCCGTCGTCTTGGGGGCGTCGGGGACGGGGTGGGTGAGGTGGTGGATGCGGCGCCGGAGGGTTCCCTTGTAGGTGTCTTCGCCGATTCTGTTGGCGGCGTTGAATTTTCCGGTGGATTTTCTGAGTTTCTTGTAGGTGAATTTCTTGAGGGATGTGGTTGGCAATGGAGGGAAGGAGTCTTCTTGTCTGCCGGGGCTGAAACACCGCGCCCAATCCATGGATAAGATCGGTAGATTATGATTTCAGAAACTCTGATCTGGGATTGATGGATGATAGGTCATGTTGATGATGATCAGATCAGATAGATCACCGGAGATAATATGATGGCGATGAATCTATGTGTTTCAATTCTTGAATCTTGAGAATCATGTGGGTTCGTTGTTGTTTCAAAGTGGAAATCTGCGTGAAAAAGCCATGCCATGCATACGTGGTAACGTGGGGAAATAATTAAACCGATTTATATTTTTACCCTTCAATTTGAACATCAAACTTGGATGGCAACATTTCATTTTGTTTGTGGGTGACACACAAAAATATGCACAAGCCTAATAATTTGTTCTCATCATTTAAGAATTAAGATAAAAAAAAATATTTATTTTGGACTTGTAAGTTAAATATTTTTATCCCTCAGTTTAAACATGAAAATTTAGATGGTAACATTTCAATTTCATCCGTTCGGAGTAAGGTGGTGGGTGAAACTGTCAAAGAAAAAGATGCACGAGCCTAGCTGATAATTTCTCTCATAGTTTAAGAGTATGTGTCAAAAAATATTGAAACTGCAAGACTATTTTTTTTTTTTAAAAAATGCTAGACTATAATTTATTTGGAGTTATAAGTTTTGATATTCCTTTAGTCTCATTTTATTTATACTACTTTAATTTTATTTTTAATTTGTTCTAAAATAATGTTTAAAAAATATTGTATTTTGTTTGTGATGAAATATAAGGCACAAAGCCAATCCACTTAGGTCTAATTAATTAATTAATTAACTCATTGTTAGGTTCGGAGTTGAAGGGAGAGGTATCCCAACTAGGCGACTAGCCAAGCTTATACGGCCAAGCAAAGTCAATCACATGCATGCCCAGCATGAGCATGGACCGATGGTAAATAAATTTTTAGTTTAGCTTATTCATGTCATAATTTAAAAACAAAAAAACTTGGGATGTGTTTTGTTTATGGGTTTACATATCATGAATGTGAATCAAAATCATAGTTAGTGTTTGATTGGTAACTTTTTAACATACAACTATGAAATTTGATTATCCTTTAAATTAAAAATCGCATTCGCTAATTTAAAAGTACAATTTCATCTTTTTGGTAATATATACGATTTTTAAGTATGGATTAGTGTTTTTAGATTTATGTTTTAATTTGTTTTTTTTTTTTGTTCATATTATTGGTACTTTGGATGTCATTATATTATGATCAATCGCCTTGATTTTTTATTATTTTTTTTTGTATTTTAAAAATCTTTACTCTAATTATAGGGTCACACATAACCAAATATCAATATTGGTAATCATTTCAATTGAACCCTACTACTAAACATACAAAATACTTTCACCTGGCTCATACCATTACCAAATATTTGATTCTCATTCCGATTTTGATTCCCATGTACGAACTAAATACACCTTTAGTTGGAGTTCCATGTTGGTATTAGTTGATTGCATTTTCTTTTTAAAAATATAATTTATCATTAATAGTTATTGGTTATTTTTTTTTATTACAAAGGAAGGGGGACACCCACATATACTATCTACGCCTTCACCAAGGCTCGGAACTAAGACATCTTACATAAGGGGCCAACCGGATACCGGTATAGTTATTGGTTATTGATGAGGTATTTATATTTATTCAATTTATATTTCAACTTTGCATGTTTAATATTGAATTATTTTTAGTTAATACAAATAATAATACTTAAAATAATAAATAACAACAACAATTATTATTATTATTATTATTATTATTATTATAAAATAACTTATTTTAAAATTCATACCTAAAACTAAAAATAATGTAAAGATAATTTAATAAATAAAATAATATTCATATCTTTTAAAGACATTTTACAAGTTGCACTCTAGCATTAAATAGTTAATTTAATAATTTTTTTTTTTTACAAATCACTAAGGCTATATTTGGCAAATCTAGCTGAAAAGGTAATTGAAAGGTTAAAAGGAGCTAAAAGCTGAAAAACTATAAGTTAGGAGCTGAAAACTAAATAGCTATTAAGCTAGCTGTTATGTATGAAAGTGTTTGGTAAAATTAGTTTTTTTGATAAGTTGATAAATGTAAAAGGACAAAAAAGGACATCTTTATAAAATTAAGATTAGTTTGTTTACATATTAAAATTTAACATTTTGTCTTTAAAAAAAAACATTTTGAAATAAAATTATTAGCATAACTATGTTCTATCATCTCATAATGAAGTAGCAATATTGTTGCGAATCTCATTTATCTAATAATAATAATAATAATAATAATAATAATAATAATAATAATAATAATTGTAAACAAAGAAAATTGAATATATATTTAGAAATTCAAAGTTCTGGTTTACATATCAAGTATCAATGCGGTGTGGGTACAAGTCTCTGGATGGTCCTCTAATTCTTCAATTGGATGCGTTGAACACTCCACCATTGAAGGGCCTCCGGGTTTCAAGTGGCTTGATCTTCAAAGAAGGGCTTGTATATATTGCTTGTTCTTCTTGAAGGGCCTCCAGGTTCAAATGGCTTGATCTTCAATAGAGGTTTGGATCAACATGTATCAACATATGGAGGAGGAAGGACTTTTACTTTCACAGGATCACATTTTTATTGTGATCCTGAATAATATTTTTCTAGATGTTTACATCACTTTTCCTAGGAAGTCTGTGATTACATAGAAATGAAAGGCTCTATTTATAGCTGTATGATAGAGAGTTTTGATAAGCTCAAACTCTTTTGATATTATCTAATTAACAAATTAGATAATATCAATATTATCCATACATAAATTCAAATATACTAATATTGATAAATAATCAATATTTATCAAAATTTAAGTGTCTACAACAACAACAACAACAACAACAACAATAATAATAATAATAATAATAATAATAATAATAATAATAATAATAATAATAATAATAATAATAATTCCGATGAAAGTTGAGAAAAGATAAAATGATTTTAATTGGGAAGGGTAAACAATGACATTTCTTTAAAATAATAAGGACAAAGATGGAAACAAGTTAGGAAGCTACTAGCTTATTTTAAAACGTTACTAGCGTTTCAAAATAAGCTCTTATTTTAAGTTACGGGCTTATTTCAGGAACATTACCAAACGGAGCTTATAACTTATTAGTAGCTAAAATAAGGTAAAAGTTCTGCTAAACATAGCCTAATACTACTAGCTGGTCAAAAGATTTAACATAATCTTTTATATGCTAACATCTAATTGCCAAAGACCCCTCAAATTAAGGTGATGTTTGGTTGGTGACTTTTATACTTTACCATCGAATTTGATAGATATTAATTGCCATTGCCATATTTATTTACCTACATTTAATATTTTACTATTAGATTCAAACTCTTTAATAATCGTAAAATACATTACCATTCTCTCCTCTATTTTTATTCCACATAATAATAAAAAAATTATTCAGACATTCAATATAGAACTTTAATAATATGTCAAGGACCTTGTGGTCCAATAACATCAAGTTGCTCTCTTATATGAGAGGTTGTGGGTTTGAGTCTTAATGTATGTGATATTAGCTCTTTGTGCTTCATTTAGTTGAGAAAATAATTATGAACATATATACCACATTATAATAGACTCAGTAGTATTCAAAAAAAAAAAAAAAACTTTAATAATATGTATACGTTATATATTTTTCAATAATTTATTTATTTATTTTTATTCAAATTTCTGATTAGTATAAAAAAAGAAGAAAATGTTTCTTACTTAAACTTTTAAAGAGTTTTAATGACTTTTAACGACTTTCAAAGTTTGGTGGTATTCAATTTAGACTTTTAAAGACTCTTTAAAAGTCTACCGGTATTCGATTCAGATTTTTTAGAAGTCTTTAAAAGTATACTGATATTCGTTTCAGACTTTTATAGTCTTTAAAAGTCTACTAGTATTCAAATATTTATCAACTTTCATACTCTATCAGAATAGGATTTCTATAGACTTTTTCTTCATTAATATAAATAGATGAAATCCAACCCTCCAACCCCAAACTTTTCAATTTTCTCTACAGACTTTTTTTCCTCTATCTAAACCAGACAAATTTTTCATCAATTTTCGGTACGTTTCAAACTTTCATAATATTATACGTTGTAATTTTTTTTTTTTTTATATTTATGCAATTTTGTGTTTGCTGCGTGTTCGCACCAGCGAACATGTTAGCACAGCAGCAGAGATGCTGCTGTTCGCAGCATAAATATTCTATAATTTTTGTTGTAATAAATAGAATTAATATACTCAAATTTTTACAATTTTTTTTATATAATTAATATATATAATTTTATGTTATTATATGTTCATTAATTATTAATATTTTTATTTGTGTTAAGTTGAATTTTTTGAGGTTCTTATTTATTTTATAGTAATGGGGGATCAAGAAAGGAGTAAAGGTAAAAGTAAAGTTATTTAGTGAAAATAGATTATATTAATTGATTAATCTATTTTTTTTTATGTATAATATAATCTATTTTTGTGACAATTAATATTTATTTTTTATTTTTTTGCAATGCATTAATTTATTTATGATTTATATAAATATTTGTTTGTACGAAAATTATAAATAATGTATTAGTAGAAGTTATGGAATGTTTGTAAGAGTATATTCAATTTAGAATTTTAATGACTTTTGTAGACTTTTTAATATGAATTTTTTTTTTAAAGTATATAAATGTTTGTTTTATGAATTTTTAAAGACTCTTATAAAGTTGATGGAAAGTTTAAAAGATTATAGGAAAGTCTACAAAATCTCTACAAAAAGTCATTTAAAAGTCTATAAAACTCTTTAAAAATCTTGATTGAATACACTTCCTTAGTAGAACGGTACGTATTTGATTAAATAGTTGAGAACTAAATAGTAGAATTAACTACTTTTGAAAAAGGTTTCCAAAAAAAAAAACTACTTTTGAAAATATGTCAATTTTTTTGTTCAATTGCGACTTGGGACATCCGGCAGCCCCCTTTCGGTATGAAGCTG